CCAAATTTCCATTTTGAATGATCAGTGTTGTGCAATTGATCGGTAAAGACTGAGGAATTCCATTATAAATGCAGATATCACTGGCTTCACCAAACTCCAGGAAAGGTAGTAGCAGATAGACAAGCCAGACGAGGTGGTACAACAAACTATTCTTCAGATACATATTGCTTGGAGATGGTTAAGTACTGTGGTTCAAGATTTCCAGTTATGAAACCAAAGATTTAGACATCCAAGGGGCTGAATAATAAATTCTACTGTCACTTTGTAATGAGAGGGTGCAACCAGATCCGCTCCTAATAACATATGCTTTCTTTCGATGGAAATACTTTATTTTATGTCGGTCACAAGCTTTATGCCACTTAGCTTCACCTCCATGAAATCTTTGCAAGAAGTGTCAGCAATACAACATTTCATCTAACTCTCATACTAAAAAATTAATTTCAATATCAATTGATATGCACTGATTAGTAGACCACAGTGAGAGAGAAAGAGAAAGAGGAAATAGAAATGATGTAATGGCCTTGCCTATAATTTGTAGCTTCATAAACAAACCAAGGATATGGGCAAACAATCCCATGGGTTACTTCCTAATATGTTTGTTAGGCTTACCACAATGTTGTTCTCTCAAAGTATGCTTTCTAGTTTCCAAGTTACAGTTTATTACAGTCCATTGTTGATGACAATTAGATTATAACTTGAAAAAGATATTACTTTTGATAAGATCAGTTATTGGAATTACCCTTAGTTTACTGCCACAAATTACAACTTTTTGAAGGGGGAGAATATTTAATATTAGTATTATTATTATTATTAAAGACCCTATCCGATGAAAAAGAAGCATAGGGTATATCTGTTTGTTTCAAAGGAGAGTAACCTACCAAATGATAAATTTGTATATGTTTGTAAACATAAATCACCCGAGAAGAAATTTACCTGTTTAAAGGGTAAGAATAAAAAATGCATGTGGGACAATTCGATTTGATACGTGTTAACCTGTTAATGCACTTTTGCTTTGTTTATATTTCTATTTCAAGTGAATGGCATTTGACTACGCTAAAAAAAGAATTAAAACAAAAAAATATTGATGAAATGTTGAGGATCGTGTATTGCATCCTCTGCTTGTTGTGACAGTAATGATTTGAGGGTACCGGTAACCTAGTTTTTTCACAGATAAGTACAGTACCCATGTGCACTTTTATGTTGTAAACAAAAAATAGGCCCTGCCCTCTGGAAAATAAGATCATCCAAAGTCATGAACTTATCAGTGATTAATCATGCGCTGTATCTCCTGAAAATTAAAAATCTTGATAAAGAAGGACCTCTTGTGACTTTCCCGTCTGCAATTTTTTTCTGGCTCCTCGTGCTTTCAAATCTGAATAAATACTTAAAAATATTCTTTTGTTCCAGTTTAGACAGAGAATGGATATTCTTTTCCTATTTTATTTTGCAACAAAACCAGGTGAATGCATTTCAGGAATAAGCTCTCCCCCTCCCCCTATGAATGCTATTTCATTCCAGATTCAACAATTATGCAAAGAATTATACCAAACAGTTTCCTTTTGTTTATTTTTGATAATTTTTAGTATTTCATTTATTGAAACAGAGAAGGTTGTTTTATTTTACAATATGTTGTCTATGCGAAAAAAGATAGAGAGAGAGAGAGAGAGAGAGAGAGGAGAAAGGGCGTGGGGGGGGGGGGGGGGGGAGTAAAAGAGGAAAGGAGTAAACAGGCAAGAAAAATACTACAAGCTAAAGACTTCTTCAACCATCATGGCACCCCTGTCAAAGTATCGAACTTTGAGTGATCTAAAAAAGAAAGGAGGCTTTCAGTTACACCATGTAATAGACAAACTGAAAAGGCTAGATGTTGATGTATTATTTCGTCTATTAAAATAACCGGCTTATAGGGCATTTAGAGGAATTGAGGAGGAAGTATAAGGGAAAGAAAGGGAGAGATTATAATGGAATGGAGTTTTATTAAATACTTACACAAGACTTTTTGGGGGTGGTGATGTGTACACCCAAAATGAGATGAAATATAAGGAGGAAGGGAAAGGAAAGGAAAGAAGGAATAATTGAGATCGAGAAGGCTGTGAACTGATAAAAGTTCAAGAGTTAAAAATGAAACATGTAGTTCTGAAAGCACTACTACAGTATTCTTTCGTGAAAAGGAGTATATCTGTTAGGAGATTAATCCCTCAATTTGTTAATACTAACTCACCATATTAGAAACCTGTAGATAACATTTTAATGATTCCTTTTATTCATTTCAAACATTTTTATCTTCTTGATATCGGCGTGGAATTTTTTCTATCAAAGATTCCAGAGAATCATTTAAGTCTCCTTCTAGGCTGGACAAACTTTTTCCTGTAATTCTGTAAGGTCACAATGTAAAGCCGTCTACTTGCTAGAAGCTATACTGACGTACAGGAATGACTATCCAATCACAGGATATGGATAGGAAGACTTCCTAGTAGAGTCAATCACTAGTACAAGGCTACAAGCAAAGGTTATTGTTTTAATCAAGTGTCTGTACGAGTTTTGCAAATTCACTCTATTTTTGTTTTGTTTTGATTAAGATGTAGTGGGTTCACAGGTACCATACTGGTGGGAATTTATTGTCTGTAAAGGTGTTTGTGAATTAATTCCCTTTTCATGAGAAATCCACATGTAAGAGGTTATGATGTGGGTTAGCAGAGTTGTAATTGGATGAAAGGTGATTGTTTTGTTTCAAGACACATTTTCCTGCTACATTTAATCCGTGATGAAGTTTCTTAACCAACCCAAATTAGTATATTTTTGTGAATTCATACCATTTCATCCGATAAACACATTCAATTTTCATTATATGGGTGAACATGCATGGCAATCAATTGATTAAAGGTAATTTTTTATTTTACAACATATGCACCTGCAACAATTAATAGTCAACCAAATTCCCTAATTCAGCCCTCGAAGAACACCACCTAACTTACCCTGACATTAAACCTAACCTAGTAACCAAAAACTTACCTGTCAAGGTTCTTTAAATCTAACCTTATATCTTTGACAATTAAGCCTAGAGAAATTGTTGGCAGAGTAAATGTTGAACCAGGTACTCTTTTATATTGACTGAACGCATTGTTTGAATGGAAAAATGATAGGAGCATGCCTTGTTTGTAGCCTTGGACAATAGCCACAAACAAATACCACATTCAGTGTTCATTATATGGGTGAACATAGCAATCAATTAATTAAAAGTAACTTTTTATTTACAACACATGCTCCTGCAACAATTAATAATCAACTAAATGCCCAAATTCAGCCTTGACCAACACTGCCTACATGTAACCTTTACATTAAACCTAACCTACCGTAACTAAATTAAAACCAACCTGTCAAAGTTATGTAAATATAACCTTTGACAAACACCTAGAGAAATTGTTGACAGAGCAAATGTTGAACCATCTACTCTTGTATATTGATTCAAATTCAAATTCAAATTCAAATTTATTCATGTTTCCAACAAAACATTACAAATCAATTATAAGCATTTACAACAAATTTAAGAAATACATGTTGGAAACAGAGGGGTCCACTAAAAAGCAATGCTTGTACAAGTGTGGACACATTATTCAGTGAATTGCAATAAAAAGGGGAAAATGATACAAGCATGCCTTGTTTGTTGCCTTGGACAACAGCCACAAACTAATACCACAATTTTATCTAAAGGCAGTGACTTATTTCCTTGTCTGGTTTGAAAGTATAGTGTTTAAATATGTATTTCTTATGGTAAAAAGGGAAATTCAATATTAGACGGGCGTAAATGAGTCATTCTGTAGTCAGTCATGTGTATTGAACTATCACCTTTATATCAGTGTTGTAAATTTGAAAACAAATTGTTGTGAATTCTTATTCAAGCTTCAGAGAATTTTGATTCAAGTTTATAAAAGAGCACATTCCCCAATAAGTTGTTCTTGCATTACATTAGAAAAGATATGGGGAAGAAAGTATTTTCTATATAGTGGGAACTGCTACTTTATATTTACTGTTAGCCTTCTGATTTTGTGAACTGCAGTGGGTGATGATTACATTGAGAAGCATTTGAACAGGTCTAAGCCCACTGCATCCTATTATTGCTATTAATACATGTATGCCCAAATCTGGCTTTATTTTGTTGTAAATTCTAACCTAACCAAATTATCTATATTATCTACCAGGAAATATTGATGCGAGTCTGCAGTTGTGCCCAGAAATTGTTCCTACCAGAAACGTTATTCAGTAGAATGTGGTCATTAAAGAGATTTTTGTAGATAAAGTAGCATCTCTGGGGCTTGTTGGTTTAGTTAGTTTATATGGTGCCCCTTATGAACAAATATGCATCAACATACAACTTAAAGACAAAATAAAGACTACTGTCTACAAAAAGGTTATGTGTGACAGAGTTCAACTAATGACATTTTCATACCACCGCCATTAAATTATAAGGGAAAAAAAATACTTTAAAAATTTCGGGGGGTACTTTTCAAGCTTGCTTGCATGAAAATATACTCTTTAATTTGTTTTGCATTGAACTCTATGCAAAAAAATTTGGGCTCTTTTATGACTTCCGGTGGCTCTTTTTAGCATTTTGGGGGCTAATTCGCGCCGAGCCCCCGTTTATTTTTTTCAACTGACCACCAAGCCCCTTGTATAAAGATACACAGATGTCCAAAATCAATAATTAATTTGTTTAATTGAACTAATCAGAATACAATGAAGACATGTTCATTAATGGCTGTTTGATCACCAGATCCTATTCAATTTGTTGGTATGTATCATAGTGCCACTAAAAATGGATTCATTCTTGCAGAACATTGTTGCTATGTTGGTCAAGTCACAATCTTTTGACAACCTTGAACACTTTAAAGCTTCACTCAAAACTCACATCTTCCTTAAGACATTTAAATGCTAACTTTATTGGAGGAACTCGCGCCTTTGAATGTTTCTGAAACAGATATGGCGCCATACAAATGCTGTGAATCATCATCATCATCATGTGTGCATATGATTTGCAACCAAATGTAACATATCAGTATAGCTGAGCTTTGTCTTTACTTGTATATATCCAGCAGATCATCAGACAGAAGAGGACTTCCGTCTGCTTTTTGAGTGCAGTCCAGAGAAGCGAGATAAGAAAGGTGGACCTTCAAGCTCAAGGGGGCATCTCAATCATACCAAAGACAGTGAAGGTAGTGATTCAAAACTGAAGAAACAATCAAGGGACTATGGAGAAAGGGAAGGAGGAGTGGATGGGGAGGGTCACATATCTGATGCGTTGCCATGGGAACAAGGGAATGGAACCAAAGAAAGTTCCTACAGCTGCACCTTCGCTGATAGTGATGGAGTTCTCTCTGATTCTGATGAATCCCATTCTGGTGCGGAGGGAGATAATCATAGCAATGACATCCTTTCCTTCAAAGATGGACGAACAAAGAGTGTGAAGAAGATCAAATGTAAAGCAGGTCACAAAAGTAATCGTCTGAAGATTGAGGATGATGATGAGAGGACAAGAGAGGATCAGTCATCTGGAAGTGATGATGATGATGAAGGTTTAGTGGAAGGAGAGAAGGAAGGAAGGCAAGAAGAAGAATACCAGGAGGAGTCTCAGCCCGTTAACCCTTCCCAATCCTCTACCAATGATGGCAGTATGGCGCTCTTTTCAGATGACTCCCATCCAGGGGACAGCCAGAGAAGTGGAGGATCACTCTCTTCAACAAACTGGTTGCAGTATCTACCTACCATGCAGCAGGTAAGTCAACCAAATCAGGCAAATGGAGTTTATTTAATTATAAAGGGTTATGAATGGATGGATAGCTGGCTGGAGGTGGTTAGATAGATGGAATGATAGATAGATAGATGGAAAGAAAAGAAAGAATAAGAAGGAGAATAAGAAATTTAAGGACAGAGAGATGAGTGAGAGAAAGAGAGAGGAGATAAGAAGAGGAGGGGTGGAAACAAAGATAGAGAGAGGAGAAAGAGTTAGAAAGAGAGATAAATAAATAGAGAGAGAGAGAGAGAGAGAGAGAGAAAGAGACCAACATGCGATCCGTGAATGATAACAGGAAGCTAATAGAAAATAGCTAATGTTATGATTTGTTTGACCTCCTTTTTCAGATAGAGGTTTTATACAAATGCTGCATCACTGTGGTTTTTAAAATGAAAGTAAACATGCTCACATCCTTAATATATGAACAAAAAAATGAAAAGTCCTTGCCCCTTCTAAAAATAAAAGTTGGTTTATGAAATATGATAAATCATTCTATGGAATAGTGAAAAGGGAATTTCAATTCAAAACTGAAGGGGGTATTCTTAAGTGGTTGTCAACAAAAACATTTAATTTTGAACAATTAGTTATTTCTTCCAATTATTAGATAGGTCTAAATGAAATATGTTGGAGAAAAAGAAATCAGAAGTCAAAATACTTTCATCAAATTTTTCTTTCGAAAGACTCGGAACAACACTTTAAAAAAATATATATATATATATATTTGTTCATTTTAGGCATTGTATATAATTATAACTTAAAATGAACAAAAATGTACATTACGATTCTGCTCTTGGCATATGTAAAAAACATACATTTATTTTTGTTCTCAGTCATTGAAACTAGAAATGCATGAATTTCATCAGATTTGCTCAAAAGTCTCACAGCATGGCATATTTATTGAAACCTGTGTTGTAGATATTCACTAACACTGTAAGCAACTTAAAGGTAATACAAAGTTTTGGGAAATTTCGAAAATTGGGTGGATAGTAATTCTTTACAATTTTGATATATTTGGATGCCCCTGTGGATGTATTAAGGGCACAACAAAACTTAGCCCCTAAAACAATTCTGCTTTTGAGAAAAATTGAATATAAACATTTACCGGTGCTCCCGGTAAATGTTGATAAATTTCAAATAGCGCCTACGGCCGTACAATGGTAGCTGCGACCATGAAAATCACAGAATATGTAGTTGTGATATATAATTTCCAAACGGGAATAGCAAATCGGTCGATTTTAGTCAAGAAACATTGTTTGATAGCTTAATTAATATCTTGACCTTGAGAGGGAGCCATACAACATGAAGAGCTTATTATTGACAATTTCATAACTTTAGACTCGATTTCAACCGCGACAACGATCACTGAATATTTTAGGATCACATTATGCTTCCAATATGTTCATTTGAACCAAATCCATGACCCCATACCAAAACTTTGTATTACCTTTAAACAAGTCATCTCTACAAAAGTATGCAAGACAGAAGATTTGATATCGATCGGCCAAATGATATCAAGACTAATGTCATGGAGATAGATTGTGATGTATGAAATAAATATTGATGAACATGTGAACAAATGTTTGTTTGTGGTCTGGTGAATGGTATAGTCAGAGATCATCCCTGATATATAGTAGTGCCTGATGGAAATTTTATGGGAGCCTGTTCTGATAATAAACAGAGAGGGCATAGTTCCTTTGTACAGCAGTTTAAACATTGAAGCATAGAGTTGTTTTTAGTAAAACCTTACAGGCCAGTATAATTATGTTCTTTTCTTCTCTTTTTCTTACTTCCTTTCCAACTTTCAAGTTTCAACTCTCTGGCTCTTCCATATTCTTCCCATTTTCTTATTTCCTTCCATTTATCTTTCTTATTGTGTTTCACTTTGTCATCAACTAACTTCATTTCATTTTCCCAAATTTCTTTCTTTGTCTTCTCTCTCTCTCTCTGTACCCTCCTTTCACTGTCTTCTTTATTCCCTTCCTTTTTTGTATACATCTTTGTCTATTTTATATTTTGATTTTTCTTTATACCCTCTTTTTTCTACTGTTCCTTAGTAGATATACATCACCATGCAAGCCGATACTTATAAGCAACACCTGTTCCTTATTTACTTTGGTTGTTCACACTCTTCTTCCTTCTGCACTTTGCTCTCTTACCGCCATCATCCATTTGTTGCTCATTTCCTTCAATTTCCCCTTTTTTTGTAGATTATTTATAATACTTATATGTACCGAGAATAACAATTGTCCCTTTCCCGCCAATTTTCCTCTCTGACTCAGACTCCAACCAAGACTCCTCCAACTCAGGAGAAAGAGGATGATGACAGACTGGAGGTAAGAGGAGACGTTGCACATAAGGATACTGGGCGTGGTCATCATGATAACAACCCCTCATCTCCCATTCTCATCAGTGATGATGATGATGTGATCGAGTCAGACTCTGACGCAACCCACATCTGCTCTCAGCGTTCTGTTCGATCAGAAGGGTCATCGGTCAATGACATCGAGGTCATTTCGATGACCCCAAGTAAACACAACCTTTCCCCTGGATGCTCCTTGAAAACAAGAGGGTTTAACAATGGTGGTGCCAATTTGAAGCAGCTGGAGAAATACAGATCTGGTACTGAAAATGCTCCTAACCATAGCAGAACTGACACAAGCACTCGACCAAGTAGTGTTGCAATAGATAAACTTGCCAACGTAGAAAGTGGAGGGTCCAGGTATGACAATGTTATTGAGGATGCTTCTTCTCTGGAGTCTGTGATCGAGATAACTAGCTCTTCATAATATCTTCTGTTGAGATACAGTCAGAAGGGCATTCATTCTATACAGTAGGCTTGCGGGTGCACCATGTGAGAGAGGGAGGATTGAGGAGTCCTGAAAAGGACTCTCGGTAATCTTTCTTGAGGGTGTGTAGTCCAGAAAAGGACTGTTGGTGTAGTCTTGAAAAAGAGTGTTGGTTATCTTTCTTAGCTTATAGTTCTAAGAAGAACTTGGAGAGGATAGGTGACGGGAGTGGCATCAATTCTGTTACAGTATATGAGTTAACACCCTCCTGGCTGTCAGTAGACACTATAGATATGACTGATTCATTTACTAGGCTGATCAATCAATAAATGTGCCCTTTTTGTAGCTCAGCAATCATTGCCCTATAAATAATAGAATATCACATTATTTATGATTTTATTTATATTGAGTGGTATATTTGAGAGTTACTTTTTGCCATATTATAGGCTTATATAATTACTTCAAATTTGTATCAAACTATTCATAGTAAAAATATGCCATTTATGTATTTGTTTAAATCATATTGATTTTGAATTTGTATTTTATAATTTTCTATAAGTCTTGATCAACTATTCAAATGTCATTTAATATTTATGAATTGCATTCCAGGTGGATTTTGAAGTCTTTGAAAAGCTTAGATAATTATTTTCACAAAATTAATTTTAACTACTGTATACACTGATGAAAAAAGTACAAGTTTGTTGACATCCCATTTAAAGGGATCCGGTAACTTTGTCTCAGATTCTGAAACAAAATTTTGGATTTAGCTCATGATGCAATGATAATTATAAACCTTTAGGTAAGTCAGGAACCCCATGATTTTTACAAGCCGATCGCCTGTCTGATTATCAAGATATTTATTATTGGAATTACAAATTTTGAAAACCGTTCGCCTGACGGTTTTCATAACACTACAGTCTATTGGGGAAAACGAGTATGGTAAAACCGGTCACTCAAAGATTTTTACTTTTTTGAGGCACTTCTTGATCATTTTGAAGCGCAATTTTTTTAGGGCTTCAATATTACACCATATCACAGGCACTGATAACACGTAGGGCCGTGTATCTCAGATTTAACATTGTTAAACGATCCCTTTAAACACAAGTTGGTATCATAACACATGTTTCTATGGGATGTTGGCAAACTTAGACTTACGTGTATCATGGTTCATATAATTTTCAATTATGTATATATAAGATATATCAAAATGGACCTACAGAAGAAATTGAGTAGGAATGAACTTGAGGCTGATTCATAGTGTGAATCATGGGCGTAAATCTGTAATTGATACCTATAGTTCAGGGGGGATGATCTATTCATTCATCCTCCCCCCCCCTGAACAATAGGTATTACGTAAGGATTGACGCCCATAGTGTGAATGAATGCTTTTGCTTTTGTTGCACGAATGACAGACACCCAAGAGAAAGTTTAGTTCTTGTAAAGATACAAATGTGAGCTTTTTCTTTCTTTTATGTTAGTGTGGATGGTTATCATTGGAGAAATGTCCACTGGAAAGACTACTGAAATGCTGTCATATTCAAAATATAGTCAGATATATAGCTGAAATGTTAGGACCAAGCTTTGATGCCAAACTGGATGTATAGTCCCATATATACATTTCTTTGTGCAGTGCATGTCACTCTCAGCTAGACCGATTCAGTTTATCATTTTGATAATTTCAAAATCCGAGGGTATACACCAATGTGCTATATAATCAACCTTCTTAAATTGTTTCCTAGCAGTTTTGTTAACGATGTACTCAGTTAATCATATAATCAGAACTCAACTTTATCTATCATGCATAATACAGAAAAAGGGTCATGGATAGGACTACTGTTTGGACTAGGGCCAAATAACAGTGTAAAATACAACAAAAAATACCAATGTGTTAGTAAATGGCCAGTGGGTGTTTTAAAGGCAGTATTTGAATTTACAATTTATATGAAAACTTTCCACAATTATGGAATGAATGAACGTGTCTTTCTAACAGATGACTTAATACGTGAAATTGTTTTACCCTAGTACAATCATTCATTATCTATTTTTAATCAGCTGTTTTGTCCCTAATCAATTTTCTAAAGTGAGCTCATTTTACTCTACCAAAAAAAATGTAGGGTTCAACAATTTATAGTACTTGAAACTGTGATATTGATATGTTACAATGAAATTCTGATAGATTTATGCAATGTATTCCAAAATTGTTATTTTTTTAATGCAATATGAGATAGTAAAAGTGAAGATTATTTCTCTAACTGCCTTATTTCTTTTTCATAAATAGATTTTGCTGTCTTATGTTTTGATTGAAAATTGAAAACCATTGACAGGACTTATTTTAGAATTAAATTGTGTGATGTAATGATTGTTTGATTGAAGTGCCCACATGTATTGTTTGAATTGGCATTTTGAAACTCACTAGAGAATTCATTTGATATGAAGTTAGTTTTGATAAAAGAAGAACAACAAATATACAGATCAGTGAAAGTTTGAGGCAAATGTTATAAAAGATAAGAAGTTTTGAATATTGAAAATTGCCATGATCATTCAAACAGAAATGGGTAACTCTGATTTTTACATCAACATTTCTTAAAGTTTTAATGTCTTCAAATAAAATGTTTCAACGTTTGTCAAAAATATAAACCAATAGAAACATGATTTACAGCTCCTCCTCCATACTTCATCAAAATGATCAAGTATCAGGTTTTTATTTTACATCCCCATACAGAATTGATTAGTAAATACAAATAAACTAGCCAGCAAAGAAATCATTAAGTTGCCACTTTGTGAAGAGATATTAAAAACTTCATAATTGCTCTTAATATTCACTGTGGAATAATCAAATTAAATAATTAAATTATTCAGCTTCATATTTTGTAAAATGGAATCTGATATTATTTCTATTTCTGGAGAGTGACAGTGTGTGGAAAGGTGAAGCGAAGACTTGAGGCCAGTGGTTGGCTTGATTATGAGAACAAATGGCTGACGTCGATCAGAAAAGAAATAAGCAGGCTGATGAGGTCAAGATAACAATAAATGAAGAAAAGAAAGGAAACAATTCGAATGAAAATGAGCCCTTGATTATTAATGAAGTGTTGTGCTCCATTCAGAACTACATCAAGAGAACGACAAAGGATAAAATTGTGGAGTGTGTAGCCCGCAGTTTTTCTCCAGAAGCAGTGATCAGGGCAAAAGAAATGTTAGCCAATGATAAGAGACTGGTGAAAGGAAAGTTGAAGAATCGTAGGAACACAAACGCCAGACTGAAACATGAGCAGACGGCTGATGATCTTGTAGAAGCCATGATGTACTTGGATCAAATAGGAATTGAAACTAATTATGTGGTCAAAAACATATTCGTGCTTCCAAAATGTGACCCAAAAGACATAGATCCCTATGCTATGCTGCAGCGAGTGATGCTTCTTGAGGAGAAGGTTGCTGTGCATGAATCTTTGATTATGAAGAATGATGCTCTTCGAAAACAGACGTATGCCGAGAGGGTAGCGGATACTGGAACGGTGCGTCAGCAGTCCATGATGGAGTCCCGCCGATCGTCATCTGTCGTACCTAGAGGTGTTACAACTTCTGCGAGTAGATCCAGAGACCATCCTGGGCGTGGGGATGTCCATGTGAGCAACGCATTCAACGCATTGTCTGGGTCTGTGGAGAACGTCGAGGATGTGATACCCAAACGAGTGATGACGAGGCAACAACAAAATCAGCTGATGGAGAATGGTGCAGAGCGCAAAGGAAAACAGATGTCTGATAGCGAAGTGAGTGATAGCCAAAGTAGATCAGTGATAAAGGAGAAGATTGATCAACATGAAGCGCCATGGATTAATGTCTCTAAAGAGAAGAAAGAGAAAAGGAAAGCAGGGACTCCTAGGAGTGATAGTAAAGTAAAGTCTGCATACAAGGTACACGGTAGTGTGAAGAGTGGTGTAGTTCATGGGGCACCTCTGCCGAAGAGAGATTTCTTCATATCTAGAGTGTCGAAGGACACAACTGATGAGCAGATGTTGGAATATATAACGGGTCAAGGTGTTATTTCAGCTGAAATTCAGTGTGTATCCGATCCGAATGCTGCATACTGTTCATATAAACTCACTGTGCCCGTTATTGAGAAAGACAAAGTAATGGTCGGAGATATATGGCCTTATGGTGTGTGTGTTCAAAGGTGGTGGAGGAGAAGCAATCAGAACGATGAACATGCTGCATAACATTTCAATTATCTCTTATAACACACAATGTGCGAATGATGCAAAATTACCTTTTTTACAGGAGCTTTTTGGCTTAGCTGATTTTTTACTGTTACAAGAACATGGGTTGTGTAAGTCACAGTTTGGATGGTTTGATAAATTGCAAAATGGAATAGGAAAACATGGGGTTAGTGCAATGAAAGAAGATGTTTTGCTAAAAGGGAGACCTCATGGGGGATGTGCAATCTTATGGAAACGTGACTTAAAACTCAATGTGGAACCTGTTGTTTTAGAATCTTCGAGGTTAACAGCTGTAAGAGTTACTCTAGATGACGGGAAAATGCTTTTAATATGTTGTGTATACATGCCTTGTGATGATAGGTGTCTGAATGGAAATTTGGATGAATACAAGATCACGTTAAATGAGCTTGACTCAATATTACAAGGAACCCCCAATGATTATGTATGTGTATGTGGTGATTTTAATACAGATATCTTTCGAGACTCTCACCAAGCTACGACACTTTTGCAATTTTTAGGCCAGAATTCTTTTTACTTATGTCAAAATGATCCTTGTTGTAATTTTGATTATACGTTCTGTAGCAAGGGTAGTGGTGTAAGATCTCTAATTGATCACTGTATGTTATCAGAAAATCTAGTTGAGGCACTACATGGGTATGAAACAATTGACAGTGTTCACAATTTTCCAGATCATCTGGCAGTCAAGAGTGTGCTAGATATAAAGATAACAGAAATTGATCAGGAAACAGAATCAAAGGCAGGGGCGGATCTAGCTTTTTGCTAAGGGGGGGGGGGTTTGACCAAAATAATGACGATGCGGAGCATCGTCCACGAGCCGCAAAGCGGCGAGCCGATTTTTTTTGGGG